GTTTGCAAGTTTTATTTATGTTTTCAAATAACATCCAGCAGATAAATCCTCCTGCATTTTTTCCTCCAATTTCTTAAATGATAACCAGTTAAATGAACAGGTGAGTTACCTTTAAATTTTTCTATATTTTTTCACATTATTTTGTTGAGATTCTTTTCTCCGAGTATCAAAGAATTATTATAAGGCTTGGTTTCTACAATAAGCTAAATTAGAATAAAATGATTCAATAATTTGTAATTTACAGTGTTGTGAGAATGGAATCAATTTCTGAGCTCATTGTATGAATAAGCTAAATAAACTAAGCTAAAATCTTTTGCTGACATTACCTGTGCTCCAAAGTCCATATATGAAAAAATTATGACTCACCCAACAGTAATCTGCAGTCCTAGTGAGTATTATGAACATTACTTGCCAACCCCTAGCACTGTCATGGGCTGCATAAAGAAGTATTGTGAAGTCCTACTTTAGAGAATGGTTATTCTTTTCTCCAGTTTCCATTCTCTGTGAATAGATTAGTTCAGCAGACAGAATTTTTCATTTTCTGAACGTTTCAAGGCACCTCTTTCTGTGAATTTCCTATCAATATTATAAGGCTTTGTTTGCACAACCTGCTAAATTAAGGTAAGATGCAATAGAATAATTTGGGTTCAATATAAAATAGGAACCAACCAACATCTCTGTTTTGTGTGAGTCAGTCCATCATATTAAACCACATTTTTTGGGGCATAGCCATTTGGGTGAACACAGCATTTATGCCTGGGTTTAAACTTTAGTGGATTGTATGAACTCAGCCATTGTGTATGCAGAAAAATGCCCCTTATTCTAAATTAAGTATTTGCACTGTGTACCAATATCATATTTTCAATGCTGACATTATCTTCTTCATTGATTGTTTTCTAATTAGCTATGGAGTAAAGGAACTGAGCTATTTAGGGTATATAATGGCATGTAAGAAAAGGAAGTGAATAGCAGGGCTGATTTGAAACAAGTGTCCCTGTTAATTTCTCAAGGTTCAAGGAACTGGGGGCACAGAAGACTGATTTGGAGATAGAGGAGTTCAACTGGAATAGAATACTAATTGCATGTTGTTATACAGGGAAGTTTGAATGCTTTTTTTCTATTTAAAAAAATTAATTTTAGTTAAAATAAGATAAAACCATGCAGGAAATGGAGCTTCTGCATTTTAAATCAGGCTGGCAATGATACCAGGAGTCTTATGTGTGGATATAGCAGATGTAGCAGGGGAAATATATGTATTGCTGATCCAAGTCAAATACAACATACATACATACATAGCCATGGTGAATATTAGCCCAGTAGCTATTTATTATTATCATCCTTATCACCAAATTCATTATATCTTAAACAGTACGTGCAGTTTTATAATAGGAATATTCTTGTATTACCTTTGGTGACTCTGTATAAAGATTTTAAATAAACAGACAAATAAATATTAACCAGATTTTTTTTTTTAAAAACTAAACATTTAATGCCTTTAGAACACTGTATTCTAAGCCTTCCTTATTAATATCAAGTCAACAGCTAACACTCTTCTGGCTTCTTCCAGCCAAGGAAGGAGATAATTTTTAGCAAGACAAGAACTTAGCTTCTATTACATACAGTATATTAATTCATCTGTATTAATTATTCAGTAGGTTATGTCCCTCATTTCCCTACATACTCTTACATCCTCTGAAACGAATGCAAGGAAATGTGAGGAATTGCTGAGATTATATCCCGATGACCTCCCCCAACACTGCAGTTAAAATCAAGGCATGCTTTATCTGCAAAGAACAATACACATTGCTCTCAACAAGCTGCAACTGTTCTGGCATCTCATCCAAAATCTTGGTGATGCCACAAATTTGAAAAATATTCTGTGTAGACACATTGGAAACCACTTTTTTTTGCTTCCACTGACACAAAGTAGGACTTTGAATGGTCTTAATCCATATTTGATCCTAATATATTCTCAACTTGTACTCTAGCTATCTTTCTTTCTGATCTACTGCTCTCAGTTCCCTAGGGAATGATTTGATTCTTAAAGAGAAAAGAGATAAGGTAGGAGCAATAGTGCCAACCTCCTGGGCCATCTCTCTGTTCTACAGATCAGACAGCATAAAAGGGCAAAAATGATATTTAGATGGACAGGGAATACCCAAACAGTTTAAAAGATTTGCATTCTCCAGGGTCACAAGAATTGCACCTGAGGATACAAAGGAAACATATTCATTGTCTGGCTAGATTTTTACTTTAGAAATCTTGGAGAACTGGTGAAATGCTAGATCACTAGAGTAGATCAATGCTGTTCTTCTGTACAAAAAAGGTGAGAAAATATATCACAGGAAACTCCAGACCAGTCAGTCTGATAGCAATACCTTAGAAATTCTACAGATCATAAAGGATCAATATGAATATCTTGCCAAAAAAAGGTCATGCCAGACTAATCTTATCTCATTATTTCATCTGGTAGCTTCTTCAGTAGATTATGGGAATGCAGTAAATATATCTTCAAAATGTTTTAGAAAGATGAGTTGGATGGGATGACAATTACAAGGACATAAAGATGTTTCCAGAATCATACTCAAAATATGTTACTCAGGGATACCTCCTTAAACAGGGACAAGATATTCACTACTTTCCATGTCAAAATACACTTGTTTCAGATGTGTCTTGGCTACTTTTGATGACAATTTATGCTAACAAAATAGACTTGTTGGCTATTCAGTTATACAACATTTTACTGATGTTTAGAGGCAAACACCTGTTTGTGACATGGTACATAATTTATCTCTATTCATGCCCAGAAAATTAAACAATTCCTTTACATTTTTTCTTCTCTATGTAGGTCCCGAGAAAACCTTTATGCTTGTATAACTAAGTTTTTCATTGTCCACTGAAAGTTCATATATAGCATCTTTGACAACATAATGACAGTATGTGCACATCTACTTTCTTTCAGGATATGAAGATTTTGTTTATGCAGGTGTACAGAGAATGATGGATCATATAGTTGATCCATGTATTAAAAACTTTTCACCAAATTCAATTTGTGATATACTTTCCTCTCCTATTACTATTTCAGAACTTTTTCATCAGGATTTTCCACAAAATGTAGCACTGAATTTACTATACTTTGTTCAAAAGTAAAGTGTTGGACTACAATAGGAAACAATATTTTGATCCCTTTGTTTGAAAAATCTTTTGGTATAGCAAATATTGGAAAGATCCCACTGCATGAAAAGCAATCCCAACACATTTTTTAAAATTAGCAGAAAATAAAACAAGCTTGCAATATTTTGGAAGCACAAAACTTACATATTTTAAAATGATTGTAGCTTTGTGCTTTAAGGAAATGTGCTTCAAAGAAAAAGAAATTTTACTTTCCAGATATATCAGTGTCCCTTTGTTTAATCACAACAACAGAGAGATCATATTGGCTTCTAAGTGATTGTCTGTAATTAAAAACTTGGGTATGTTTTAATTTTGGCCCTTTATACAATATTTTGAATGTGTTCTTCAGCTCCATTCCATTTTTCATCACATACACCCCTGTGAAAAAATATAACGGTTTTAGAAAGTTAATAGAACTCTTTCTCCCATTTTACATTAAATTTCTGTTTTTTATAGCAAAATGTAGTATCCAACTATACCTTTAGACTCCTTGTGGTCCATTTGTAGGACTTTCACCTGCTGAATTTCACATTCAAAAACTGGTGATATATAAATAAAGCCTGTGCTGTTCTTTCATTTCTTGGAAAGACTCCTGCCAAACTGTGTCAATCCAACCTATGAAGATGACTTTTAAATTCCATCTAATGGCATACTTTGATTAATGGTATGTGTAATCTCTGAAATACAGTAATTTGTTTAATTAAAGTATGAAAAAAATAGAATATTCAATATCTGAAATAAAAATGTATTCATCCAGGTCCATTTCATAACTTCTATTGAACAATGGCTTGGAATCTGGTTGCAAGTTCTATCATCAACATTACTACACTGACTCCTTTTTATCATCTTCCCTGTACACACGTGGAGGTTTGAAAGAGGACTTTAAACATATATAGCTGTGCACAAATAAAGAGTTCTCTTGGTTTTCAATAAAATGAAGTACCTATCTATAACCACCAGTGAACTGGTAAAAAGAATTCTTCGCAATTCCACTGGTGAAACTGAAAAAAAATGGCCATGGAAGGCAGTGATCAATGACTGGAAGAGAGTGAATATTCCTGCCACAAGGCATTGTGGAATGGAGTGGAGGTAGTTACCTACAATGAAATGCAGGAGGCAAACTGGATGGTTTGCT